GGTTGAATTGGGTGGCATTCCAGAGTTCCGTGTGCTCGCGAGTTGTCTGAGCGTTGTGACTCAGAAGGTCCAGCACACACAGCAGTATCGCGGCTTGGTCAAGGCCGCGAAGGGTCTGGGTATCAAGTGCGCGAAGTCGTATACTAAGAAGAAGCTCGCGGTGCTGGTGCAGCGCGGTATGCAGAAGCCTGCAGGCACGGGGGCGCGGAAGAGGAGTTACGAGGAGCTGGTATCCGCAGTGCACGCTCGCGGCGGCTCCGAGTATGAAAGAATGAAAATGCAGGGAAGGTGGATCACCAGACGATTATCCAAAGTCAAGTTGGAGGCGTTGCTGGCTGAACCCCGAGGGCGGTGTTCATTTGTATAGTTGCATGTTGTCTGACACAGTGGTCGACCAGAAAAGTATGAAAGAAGAGCATACAGCAGCAATGACATACACATATACATACATACACACATGTAAACATACTAGTTCGACGCGCATAGCCATTCTTGACACATAGACCTTACCTACACAGTCACATACACATACACATGCGTACGTCGAGACATGCACTGAGAGTTACATATCGTCGTATGCATGTGTTTGAAATTTGCCCCAAAAATGTGACCAACAGTTGTGTGCCTTTGTCTCATGTCTATCGTATGTTTCATGTGCAATATGTATCATATATACCAAATGCATTCCGACATTTGCATCACAAATGTGATCAACTGTTGTGTGTCTCTCTGGTCTATCATATGTATCATGTGCAATATGACTTAGCATAACAAAAGCATGTGTTTGAAATCCCACAAATGTGACCGACTGTTCTGTGTCTTTGTGTCATCTCTATCATATCATGTGCACTATGTATCATATATAACAAGTGCATGTGTGCGAAATTTGCCCCAAACATGTGATCACCTGTTGTGTGTCTTTGTCTTTTGTCTATCATATCATGTGCAATATGTATCATACATAATAAATCCATCAGTCCGAAATTTGCCCCAAAAATGTGACCAACTGTTGTGTGTGTATTTGTCTCAGGTCTATCATATGTACATGTGCAATATGTATCATATATAACGAAGGCATGTGTCCGACGTTTGCTCCAAAACTGTGACCAACTGTTGTGTGTCTTTGCCTCATGTCTATCATATGTATCATGTGCGAGATGTATAATATATAACAAAGGCAGGTGTCCGAAATTTGCCCCACAAATTTGATCAACTGTGGAGTGTCTTTGTCTCATGTCTAGCATATCATGTGCAATATGTATCATTTATAACAAATGCATGTGTCTGAACTTTGCCCCAAACATGTGACCAACCGTTGTGTATCTTTGTCTCATGTCTATCATGTGTACCATGTGCAATTTTCACATATAACAAATGCATGTGTCTGAAATTTGCACCAAAACTGTGGCCAACTGTTGTGTGTCTTTGTATCGTGTCTATCATTTGTATCATGTGCAATATGTATCAACTGTATCATGTGCCAATATGTTGACTAATCTGCTTGTGAGTTTGAGTTGTCTTATCAGTGTGAGAAACCCGTTTTGAAACAGGAGGCGCCCTCAACCTCATCCTCCCTCCTTGGTCCCCCCAGCCCCTAGAGGCCTCGGGCCCCGCCTCTCACGGCGCCCCCCCCGTGGGTCCCTCCAGTGCGCCCCATCGGGAACTCAAGCGAGAACACCGTTTTGAAACAGGAGCCGCCCTCAACCTCATCCTCTGTGCCCTCTCTGGTCCCCCCCAGCCCCTCGAGGCCTCGGGCCCCGCCTCTCACGGCGCCTCCCCTTGGGTCCCTCCAGAGCGCCCCATCGGGAACTCAAGCGAGAACCTTGTTTTGAAACAGGAGCCGCCCTCAACCTTATCCTCGCCTCTCTGGCCCCCCCCCGGCCCCCAGAGGCCTCGGGCCCCGCCTCTCACGGCGCCTCCTCGTGGGTCCTTCCAGAGCGCCCCATCGGGAACTCAAGCGAGAACCCCGTTTTGAAACAGGAGCCGCCTTCGACCTCATCATCCTCCTCTCTGGTCCCCCCCGGCCCCCAGAGGCCTCGGGCCCCGCCTCTCACGGCGCCTCCCCTTGGGTCCCTCCAGAGTGCCTCATCGGGAACTCCCTTTTTGAAACAGGAGCCGCCTTCAACCTCACCTGCTTGTGAGATTGAGTTGTCTGATCAGTTTGACACATGCATGTGCTTCGTTTCCGTTCGTATGGACTTTGCCACTTTCCCACAGCATCATTCGTTTGCCTTAGCCATTGGGGCTCCAGTCGTATTTCGCTTTTCGTATCTCTTTCCATATGCACACGCGCGTCCGTATTGTTGGCAATGGCAGGGCAGTGGGACGAACAGACTGGGGAGTATACCCCATCCGACGAGGAGGTGGCCGAGGGTATGAGGCGCTGGTCTATGTCACCCGGCGGGGACGGGTTGGTATTCCACTGGCTCAAGGCTTAGGAGAGACAAAAGTACCACTACCATCAGCTAGGGGGGTGGCCGCTCCATCTTCGAGCTGGTGGCTCCTTCCGGGTATGCCTCCAGAGAGTGCCCGGAAGGAGGTGCCACCAGCTCGAGGGGAAGGCGCGGCCGCCCCCTTAGCTGGTGGTAGTGGTACTTTTGTGTCTCCTGAAAGGTGCTGCGCGAGACCACGTGGTTCGCGACTGCAGTGTATTTTCCGTGTATGTGGCAGGGACTCACGGGTGTATGCCTCTGCCTCTCGACGCCGGAGAGTACGCGCCAGTCCAAGGAGAACGGCATGGTCGAGAACCAGCGCCGTATGGGAGGCATCGAGACCCCAGAGTGGATGGCGTTCGCTGTATATTTCTACCCTGGCTTGGTATTCGGCAACTTTTCTGGTTTCAAAGATCCAGCCGCGCAGTATGTGGGCACACTTTCGGAAGTATTCCATCGGCTGTGCGCCCAAGCTGGTATAGCGAACTGGAGATCGCACGTATTCGTCCGGCACGGCGGCCGGGTGCATGCTGGCTTGCGCAGGCTGTTGCAGCTCCTGCGTATTCACGTGCATTCCGAGGTGGTATCAGGTCTGTCATACAGGCGCATTGCGAGCCTGGATGTATTTGTGGCAACACACACGGGATCCATGGGTATGGAGCCGCCATCCATGGCTCAGTGGAATGCCTCCCACGACGTCAAGGATGGTATCACCTTGTTCCCGAAGCAGGACCATTGGTGGCACATGCCAGTATGGCGTTCTTTCGGGCAGTCCGAGTATGGGAATGTCATGGATTACCGTGTGGATCTGGGTATGCCGGCGCATGTCCAGGGTGTCCTGGCGGTATTGGCGGCCCGCGGACGCGCGGGCGATGTATCCGCGAGGAGGCGTATCGGCACCATGCTGGGACACTTGGCCCCTGATGTATGGGTGCCAGGAGCGCAGCTTGCAGTATTGCGCCCGATGCGTGCCATTAGGGACAGGCGTATGCCAGAAGACGATGAGCACAAAGACTCGTCTCTGTAGTATGCTTCCAGAGCACGTATGTGTCCAGAGCCGCCGCGCCTTGTCCTGCTCCTCCTCCTCCTCCTCCGGCGGGGGGCGCGAGGATCCGGCATCGCTGACATGGGACAACCATCGGGACCACCATCGGAACAACCATCGGGACAACCATGGGGGCAACCATCGGGACAACGATCGGGACAACCACAACCATCAGGACAACCATCGGGACAACCGTCGGGACAACCATCGGGACAACGATCGGGACAACCATCGGGACAACCGTCGGGAGAACCATCGGAACAACAATCGGGACAATCATCGGGACAATCATCGCGACAACCATCGGGACAACCACAACCATCAGGACCTCCAAACGTCGGAAAACGGTACAGGTGTCCAGTGTTGGAACAGGGGGATACGTCGTATACTAAGCTAGCTTCCACAAAATGTTACAACAACAAGTCATTGTACCCATGCGTCAGTGTAGTAGCCAAGGTCGTCCGCAGGCCACGAAGTGAAGTGTCCGAACGTCATAGGGCGGGAAGCTGGGTGTGGGTGGTGGCGAAGAGTCGTTTGGAAACTTGGTAGAGCTTGAACCGGCCCCCCCACAAAGTGGGGGTATTGTCCGCCTCCTATGAAAACCCTGGCACTGGTGAGAACGGAGTGTCCCCAGTCTTAAATGATTGTTGTTGTTGTTGTTGTTGTTGTTGTTGGCGGTGGTGGTGGATTGAGGCGGTGGTGGTGGTGGTGGTAGTGGTGGTAATTGTCGCTGCGTCCCCGCCGTCGCCAGCGCCAGCGCTTGCGCTGCTGGCCGGCGCCAGCGCCGGCGCCGGCGCGAGGGGGGGGGGTTGGAACCCCCCCTCCCCTTCCGGCGCCAGGGGGGGGGTTGTTTGAGCCCTCCCCCCCCCTCCCCGCTTGAGCTGCCTGTGGTCATCCCTGCTGCGTCCCCGCCGTGGGCGCTGCTGGCGGCCGCCAGCGCCGGCGCCGGCGCCAGCGCCGAGCGGGAAGGGGGGGGGTTCGGGAGGGGGGTTTGGGGGGAGGGGAGTCCCCCTGGTTTTGATCGACAGCGCAGAGTGTTTTTTTTTGGGGGGGGCCACTCCCCGGCTTGAAACGCGCCGCCGAATGTTCCCAAGACAAACGCCCGTGAAACGCGTTCTCTCCTTCTTGGAAGCATGCCTGCTTCTCAGAAGGCGTGGGCCTTGTCTGTAGATGTGGGTCTGGCGCCTTCTGAGAAGCAACCTCCTTCTAACAAGCCTTCTGTGCGCGCCACCAATCTGCCCCTCCCCCCCTCCTCTCGCCATCTCTCCTCCCCTCCTCTCGCCATCCTCTTCGCTGTCTCTCCTCACCTCCTCGCCGCTCCAGGGAGAGGGAAGAGGGATCCTCGCCTGCTCCCCTTCTCCTCCTCTCGCCATCCCTTCACTCCCCGTCCATTCCCCTTCTCCTTCCCCCTTCCCTCGGCCCTTCCCTTCCCCTCCCCTCCCTTCTCCTCTCTTCCCTCCCTCCCTCCCGTCCTTCCCTTCTCATCCCTCCATCCTTTCTCCCTCCCCCCCATCCGCCTCCAGTGGACAGTGGCAGTACGTCGCCGAGTGGGGCGTGCACGACGAGTGGGCTTTGATCCAGCAGCTCGGCCTGGACTTCGGCAGGGTGGCGCACCCGGAGGCGAACACGGAGCCTGCGCCCGTGCTCTCGCAGAGGGCAGCGACGACGAGGAGGAGGAGGAGGCGGAGGAGGAGGAGGAGGAGGAGGAGGGAGGAGGGAGGGAGGCAAAGGCGGAGGTGGAGGCGGAGGCGGAAGAAGAGGAGGAAGAGGCGGAGGAGGCGGAGGAGGAGGAGGAGGAGTAGGATGATGATGAGGAGGAGCAGGAGGAGGCGGAGGCGGAGGCGGAGGAGGAGGCGGAGGCGAAGGAGGAGGAGGCGGAGGAGGAGGAAGAGGAGGATGAGGAGGAGGAGGAGGAGGAGGAGGAGGAGGAGGATGAAGAGGATGAGGATGAGGAGGAGGAGCAGGAGGAGGCGGAGGCGGAGGCGGAGGAGGAAGTGGAGGCGGAGGAGGAGGAGGTGGAGGAGGAGGAGGAGGCGGAGGGAGGAGGAGGAGGAGGGAGGAGGGAGGAGGGAGGAGGGAGGATGGAGGAGGGAGGGAGGCAAAGGCGGAGGCGGAGGCGGAGGCGGAGGAGGAGGAGGAGGAGGAGGAAGAGGTGGAGGAGGAGGAGGAAGAGGATGATGATGAGGAGGAGGAGCAGGAGCAGGCGGAGGTGGAGGCGGCGGAGGAGGCGGAGGCGGAGGAGGAGGAGGAGGCGGAAGAGGAGGAGGAGGATGAGGAGGAGGAGGAGGAAGAAGAGGAGGACCAGTGTAACGGAAGAGCCATCGACGATGTTGGAATACACTTTCCCTCCAAGCTCCCTCGTCATAGGCCCCTACAACGGTTCATGTCCATTGAAGGACTTGCCTCGTTGGAAGACAACCGTTTGAAGACCCCGAAGCATACCACAACAATGTTCTCGGGATTCCAACGCCACGGATCAACCTGATTGTTGCGTCTTGACGATCCTGGATCCTGGATCGTAGGTCAACATTGCTGTTGCACCCGCAAAATCTTGAATCCTTCCAAAACACCATTTCTGACACGTTGATCGTGGGAATCAGTGAAACGCTTGCAAGTTTTATGAACGAAGCTGCGCGGCGCTAATGCGAGGGCCACATGTTGAAAAGGAACCGCCCTCAAGCCGTGAAACTCTTGCAACTGTTTAGAACGAGTGCGCGCGGCGCTAAGGCGAGAGCCACATCTTGAAAAACGG